CTGCCCCTTTCCAATCAAAATACTCAATAATAAATAGTTAATAGTTAAATAATAAATTACTTAATAAGTTAATGGGTTTTTTAAATTTTCTGACAAATTTCGCATTTTATGATTTTATGATTATTTAATGGCTCTCAAGATGTTATGATCGCAATAATTCTCTTGTTTTTTATAAACCCTTCAAAAATCCATAAAACTTCGGAAAAAACAGAGAAAGATTGCAGCCACATAAAACTCAATGAGTCATGAAATAATGATAAAACCCGGAAATGGTCAATCTGATTCGGGTCAATCTCATTAACAATTTATCAGAAAACCCAAGAAACCGTCAATTCTGGCGAAAATGGGATAAAACATCCTCAAGACAAGTTTGTACAATTTTACCCAAAAATCCTACAAATACTAAAATTCAAAAATTTTCTAATTCTCCCCAAAAGTCGCAGAGATTCTCCAAAAATTTCTTAAAATTCGCTCACCATTTGAAGTATAAAACGCAAATAGCTCAGAGCATTCGATAAACAGATCGATCAAAACATTAATAACTGGTAGCATAATTGCTGGTTTTTCAAACGTGTCAGAGGATGAAGCAATAATAAATGATTTCTTCCCAGAATTTTTTGTGAAGTGGTTGGAGGTCATGATGGTGACACTCGACAGAGACGCTGCAGTCATCGCCGTGGAATTATTGCCACCTGATAATGACTCCAAGTAAACATCTCTGGAAGCAAAAGAAATCATAAAAAGTCGAACGATGTCGATGCTGTCACCGAAGAGACTCGAGGATAATGGAGTTCACTCGATCTCCCGTAGAGGAAGTATAGCATTAACTTTCCAAGCTAATTTAGCAGCCATTGGATCATCCGTGGATTCTCTCCAGGTAGTTGGATCGGCTAGAAGAAGATTAAGTAATGTCAGTGATGCCGTCACCAGAAGAATTTCACATACCATTGGATGGAGATCAGTGTCTGCGTCATTGGAACTCATTGTTGCTCAGGTCAGTTGTTGTCCAGACTCTGGCCAGATCACACATTTTTTAATCTGTGAACATTTTTCAATTACCTTTGCTCGATCACTCTCTGCAGCTAATTATTTTCATGTTTTTCTACAGTAATTATTCATTTTCATGGTTAACTGGAAATGGATGGATTTTCAAATGGTTAACAGTGGGATTGATATAATGAAAAAAGTCAACAAGATGTGAAATGATGGAATTCAAATTTCTTGTTTCCTTGTGCTTTTCAATGTCAAAAATCTTCTAAATTTTTTAATTACTGCAAACAATATTAACAAAAATTAAAAAATCTTTTCACCAGTGTTTTTCAATTCATTTGCCGCCAAAATATTCAATTCCGAGTGATTTATTCAACGGAATTCTATGCGGAAGTTGATATAGAAAAAATTGTTAATTGATATTTTTTAACAATGCAAAATACAGCAATAAATGTATTCATCTTCTTCGTTCAAAAATTTAAAGTTTTGCGCGTTGACTGACGTAACGATACCCCCACTCTGATCCGAATATCGTGGTCTCGCCACTCCGACTATCTGCACAATACAATAGGACCCATTCTTTTAAAGTTATTGGCTTGATTGGGGTTGGGACCTAGGTGAGTCTATTAAAAGGGTAATCTCCTGAAATCTGGCTTACAGATGATATTCAAATCCAGTCCCACAAAATTTTTTGACATAAGCGCAGGAGGGTATTTAATAAAAATCGATTCATTAAATTGTTAAAGATGAATAAGACATGCAACATTGGAAAAACTGAAGAACAATGAGTCTTACAAGAAAGATAAGAACTGGCTTCAGAGGAAAAGAGGACAGGAAAAGAATGCATGTCTGATAGAATGCATTCTTTCTATAGATTAGATAAT